CTTATTTATTTCATAACTGTGTTTTTCATGGCTTATTTATTTCATAAATGTGTTTTTCCTTGGCTTATTTATTTCATAATTGTGTTTTTCATGATAGCTTATTTATTTCATAATGGCATTTTTCAGCAGAATGACTTCAGCTGTCAATCACATCAGTGGGTTGGACCAGCATGCCCACTGGCTGATCCTTCACATACATTAGTTTTCCTGAATACCTGCTCACTCACAGACATAATTTAGATATAATTTATAATTTAGAGCAAACAAATAGTTGTTTTTCCGTGTTAATCTTGTTAAATTCAAAGAACTAAAACAGCAAGCCCTACCGTGCGTGCTCCGGCTGCACCAATCAATTTTTGACAGCCCATTACTTTTTTGTCACGACACTTTTATCCTTTGAGTTCTCAGTTTGATCTGCTAAAGTTACCTGAGCTGAACGAAGTTCATGCAACTCTGCATCCTTTATGACTGTTGACTTAGCAAGTCACTGCTAGTTGCTATGCTAGCTGTAACAATGAACAGGTATTCAGGAAAACTAATGGATGTGAAGTCTAAAAAAGTTAAGTCAGGTCCTCTGGACGGGTTCAAAAAACAAAAAAAATGTAGAAACCTTTCGTCTTTCATCCAAAAGATCCTGATGCATGCTCAATAATCCAGGTAGAAAAATCTAAAAAAGTTAAATCTGGTCCTCTGGACATTCAAAAAAACCCAAAACAAAGCAAAACAACAAAAAATGTAGAAACGTTTCGTCTCTCGTCCGAGAGACTTCCTCAGTCTGAGGTGCTGTTTTCAGCTCAGTCTCTTAAATAGCACCTTCTCAGAGTGGATCAACCAGTTTGTGGCTGACAACCAAAACCAGCTGATCACATGCTCAAGAAGGACCATCAGCCTAACAATGGATCATTAGCACACTGATGGCTGTTTACTATTCACAGTTTACTATTCTACATTTTTTGTTGTTTTGCTTTGTTTTGGGGTTTTTTGAATGTCCAGAGGACCAGATTGAACTTTTTTAGATTCATCCAAAAGACTTTTTCAGTCTGAGGAGCTGTATTCAGCTCAGTCTTATAAATAGCACCTTCTCATAGTGGATCAACCAGTTTGTTGTTGGCATTCAAAACTAGCTGTTCAAATGATCAAGGAGGACCATCAGTCTAACGATGGATTGTTAGCATCCTGATGGCTGCTTGCTATTGACAGGGAGCTGAGTGATTCTAGCAATAACAGCAGATGTGAAGGATCAGCCAGTGGGCTTTCAGGCCCAACCCGCTGGCGTTGATCGACAGCTGATGTCATGCTGCTGAAAAGCATCATTATGAAATAAATAAGCCATGAAAAACACAGTTATGAAATAAAATATTAAAAAATTAAAAATGTTCTTATTTCATAATTGTTTTATTTATTTAATTAATTTTGAGAATTTTGGTGTTCCATATTATTGTACTGAGATTAAAAAGTGTAAATGTTTCTGATGCTCTGCATGTTTTAATTGACAGGAGTTTATCAGTAATAACACAGAGCCCTACTGGAGCAATGATCATGGATACTGGTTGGGGCTGAAACAAAATAAGAGCAACTGGGTCTGGGTTGACGGACATACCGACACTTTGGGGTAAGAGAATTAAAAAACTGGAATCTTTTTATTCCACTGTCATACTGCACTGTGAATATTTAGGGTTTAAATTATTCTCAAGGTATATAACATTTCATTACACTATTTTATTATTTATAAAGGTATGAACAAATTATTTTAATTAACTTCAGATGTTGTTGGTAACTGATCCTCCTCTGAATAAAACCTCTTTAAATAAAAAATACAATAAATCAAAATCTAAGTCTTTACAGGTGATTCTTTGATTTAAAGTTTTTTAATTTGCAGTTACATTTAAATATTCTGCTGCTGCATCAGTTTTCTAAGATCAAACATCAAATGCAGAAAAAAAACATTTTAAATTAATTGATTTATTTTAATTACATGGACATGATCAAAATTATTGTTACCCTTTCATTCAAGAACAAAAATCCACAAAGTTGACTGAAAAACTTAAATAAATATAAAATTAACTGACAAGTGACAAATAAAACTACATTCAAACTACAAACACAGGACGTTAATTATTAGAATAATTAATATTTTGATAACCGACCTTTTTTTATATCTGTGCTCTAATATCTTTTTAATATTATACCTGATGAATTTTTATATTTATTTCTTAATTTAAATAAAGCCATATGTTTTCAGCTTCTACAGTCATTTCTAAAATATCTTCTATTGAATGATGATGATGTAATAAGAAACTTCTTCTTGTGTTTCTGTTGCATTTTCAGGAGCAAATAATAATAAAATCTAATTTACAACCTGTCGGATGTTTGTTGTTGTTTCTGTATCAAACTGACTCTTTTTCTGTTTATTTTCTGCTGCAGAAGTTACATGAAGATTTATTTTAGTTTATAATGTTTGTGTTTTTTTATTTACAGGTACTGGGTGACCGCAGCGATAAGTAAAACTGGTCCATATGTTCTGTTGATGCCTACAGGTCCAGATATTAACCCGAAACTCCCCAAGAGGGAACTCACAAAGACCTGGGACAAAGGAGATTCTCTGTTTCTGCTCAGATTTATCTGTGAGCGTAAAGTTCTGATAAAGTCCGATTAGTTATCAGAGTTCATCTTTTGGTTTGAGTTCACTTTTGATTTTTGTCATGTTTGTTGTACGATGTTGAGACAAACATGATCTTTTTCCTTTCTGTAGCTGATGATTCTGTGTCAAATGATCAGCAGCTGATTTTAACATTTAAGATTTTTTTTGTACATTAAATGATACTGAGTCCTCAATATGTACAAGAACTGCAAACCTAAATCTTTATATGGTTTCAAAAACACAAAGTTTGTTTTCTCAGTCATCCAGGATCCACCTGGATGACTGAGAAAACAAACTTTGTGTTTTTGAAACCATTAGTGAAAAGGCCAGACTTCAGGGGTATCTGAGGCAGGCTTGAAACACAAGAGTTAGGGTGGCTTCTGGGTAATACCAGATGGCTAGGCCTCAGACCGACGAAGCCTCTTGGATGAGGGGCGAAACGTTTCTTTTTAACAAAAAAACGAAGTCCAGATGACATGATCTAAATCTTTATACTTTTAATAAATTTACATCTGATCACTTTGAATAACGTCAGTTTGATTTGAATTGTTGCCTTTTCACAGTGAATGTAATTTCTCTGAGTTTAGTTGTTTTTAAATTATCTTCATGTCTAAGTATTTCAAGATACATTTATTTAAAGAGAAAAAGTAAATAAACTAAATTGGACAAAGACGTTGTTTCGGTGCACAGCTGCTTTGATAACATCTGGACAGTAATTGGAACCTCGGACAGGAGAAGGCATTGATGAGTGTGTTCTTGTAAATGCATTGATCTGCTGTGAATTGTTGGCTGTTCTCCAAAGCTTTAAAAAATAATGAAACCTGATTGTTTGGGAATCTCTTTATTTTCCACGACAAAGGTTCTACATGTTCACATGCACACACGTCACACCATCAACACAATTATTCATGTCAGGGCAGAAAACATTAGGCAGCATTAGAAAGGTTGCACACTTATTGTTGCGTGGTTCTCCAATGACAGACGTTCAGAGGCGGCACAGTGACCGAGCTGACATCACTACAACCTGAAGAATCACTCAGAATTACAAGACCTTAGTGAGAGCTTCAATGCCGTGAGCTCCTCACTACATCTGATACTGAGATCAGTCCACAATAGTTCTGAGCACGTCTAAACCTCTTTAGAGGGGCGCTGGTTGTTGAGCATGGTGGTAGCAGCGTATCGGGGTCCTGGGGTGAACTTGGTGGCAGTGTATCCATGAGGAAGGGTCACAGACAGCTGAGGAGCATAAAATGTGAGGGAATTCTTGAAGGTGGACTTCCATCCTCACTCAGAAAGAAAGGGTGTTGGATCAGCAAATGAATCCAGAACAACTCACCGGCGATGATTCCTCAGATCGACAAGGTGCAGATAATGACATGTATGTCCATAAACAGCTGTGTAAAAGTTTGTAATGGTGAATGAATGTCAGCTGTGGTGCTGCTGGAGGAATCACACCAAGTAAACACTGATCGGGTTTTTCTCTGGCATCCCTGATCGTGCCATGCCAGCTGTATGTGATGACCTCATCCAAGGGATACCCAGATAAGTCAGATTTCCCCACATTGTAGCCTAACCCCCACTGTTGAGGCACAGCATCTTTTATTTATTTATATTGTTTACAGTAATAGTGGTGCTGTGTAAAGTTGGAAATGCCTCAGACTCAGAAGTGCGCCACCAGCAGATCAGTGTCTCCCAGTTCATTTAATTAAACAACTGCAGCTTCACACACACAATCATTTCTCTTTGTGTTTGTGTGGCAAACATCTTCTCTTTTTTAAACCCCACTAACATTTTTGACCATCTCATTATTTACTGTATATTCCATTAAATTCCTCGTTTTGCTGCATCTAGACAACATATTTGTTTGTGCAGAGAAAAGAAGCACACATGCACAACATTTTTATATCTATCAAAGTTCTGTCAGGTCATCTGGAGGGTTCTTTTTTTTTTTAACGTTTCGTCCTTCATCCAAAGGACTTCATCAATCCAAGGAGTCACAAACAAGCTCAGTCCCACAAGCAGCACACTCCCAAACTACTGCACTTCACCACTTACCCTTGTTGAGGGCGGATGCTTCCCTCCCACTCTCCCTACTCCACTTTGCTTATGCTCTGTCCTGTTTGTGAAACTGCTTAAGAGCCTCTCTATATATATCTTCCGAAAGGTAATTTATCTCAACTTGCCTGGAGGCCCTGTAAATTTGATGCTCTGCCCCTCCCACCGAGGAAGTCTGCGGATCTATCAGAGGGACCCAGCTGAATAAACATTGTGTCATTTCAGGACTCTTGGTTTCTCTCTGGTTCAGTCCTAGGTCAATTTCGGCACCGTCGAGAGAGTTTAGGGAGGGAACGGACTGATTGTACCATTCTTATCAGAACTCAGTGTCTCTGGAGTGTCCTTGACATGATCACCGCTCTTGTCATCTCCCCTGCGGAATGTCTACGTCACTATGTGCTGATGCACGGGGTGTTTTTTTCAATATCAGGCTCTCTCTCCTCGGCCAAGGAGTGAGAGTTGGATAGGATTATTTTTGCCTCCAAATCCTATACATGTTGTTACTTTCATCACTTTTTGTCTGTCTAAACAAATCTCACTTGTAAATGAATCTTCTAGGCTCAATGTGATTTATCTGTGTAAATAAAGATAGAATGAAAAACTGGGGTGAGCTTTGATGGGAGTGAGCTGCTTGTGGGACTGAGTTTGTTTGTGGCTCCTTAGATTGATGAAGTCCATTGGATGAATGGTGAAACGTCTCAACAACAACAAAAAGAAACCGTCCAGATGACCTGACTGAACGTAGTTGGATTTTTTTACCTGGATTATCAAGCATGAACTTTGATTCTTTTACATCTACTTGCATATTTAAATAGA